TTCCTCTCCCCAGCCTCACATATTTCTTGCTGGATACTGCTTGACCTCTAGCCCCTTCCCACCAAAACCCCCACCCCAGCTTCCTAATACAGAGGAGGCTCTTCCCTATGTGGAACTGCAGGCCATTTTGGGGAGGGGGCTGGTACAAGTATCCAACCAGGAGGTCTGTTTAGGCGGCCTAAACAGACCTTTCATGGCATGACTCAACATGAAGAGTTGGTCCTTGTGGAAGAGAGGCCAGGAGCAAAAACTCTTTTTATGAGTCTATGTATGTGTGTGCGTGTGTGCATGATTGTGCACACATGCTTTGTGTGTATTCGTACATATGTTTGTGTATGTGTGTGCATTTGTGCATGGGTCTGCACATGTGCTAATGTGTGTGTTTGTGTATGTGTGTATTTGTGCCTGCATGTGTGTGTGTGTGAATATATGCGTATATGAGTATGCATGTGCATATGTGTGGGGTTTGGTCACAATCAAAACTCTTAGGGGAGGAGGCAGAATCTGATCTGGCTGTGTGGGCCTCACCAAAACATGACTCTATCAGGCTGACTTCATGCCAACTCAGGTACCAGGGTCTTCACACACTTGAAAAACATGTAGCTTAAAGCAGCACACATTTCTTCTCTCATGGCTTTGAAGACCCAAGTCCAAAGTCAATTTCCCTGGGTCAAAGTCAAGGTGTCAGCAGGGCCAGGCTCTCCCCGGAGGCTCTAGGCAGAATCTCTCTTGCTTTCCACATCCAAAGCTGCATGTGGTGCCTTCCTTGGCTCTGCTGCTGCCCCCATCCTCAAAGACAACTCACCTCACCTTCCCGGGCTGTGTTGCCTCTTCTCCAGTCAACACTCTGTTTCCCTCTCATAAAGACACTTGTGACTACATGTGTGTCCCACCTGGCTAACCAAAGACAATCTCCCACCTCAGGATTACCTTAGTCACATCTGCAAAGCCTCCCTTGCCATGTAAGGAAACATTCCCAGCTTCAAGAGATTACAAAGTGGACACCCACCATATCCTCCACCAGGAGCTCCAATTCTCACTGCTCTGTGCTAAGGAGAGGGTGTTGGTGAGGTTCAGGCATCCCTGGTCCCTGCTGTGTCTGCACCCTGCCATGATGTCAAGTAGTGTTAGGCTACCAGCCACCAGCATGGGCCTGGAGAGAGACATGCAATGGCCATGAATGTGCAAGCTCACACATGTGTGCACACACACACACACACACACACACAAGAAGTGGCATTGGACTCAAAACTGGCAGTGTCCCCCATGACGATGTGATGCCTGGAGCTGTGGGATGATTAACTTGGGGACCACTTTCCTGAGCTGCAGAAGTCAAACTGCTTGTGACATTTGCACGCCAGCAACCTGGGCCTGGAGTACACATTGTTTGCATTTGCTCATTTTTTTGTTTGTTTGTTTGGGAATGTGGTTTTTAGGGGAAGGTCAGGGAAGGGAAGGCCTGCTGGACTAATCTGTGTGTATGTATGTCTCTAAGGATACAAATCTGTTACAGTAAAAATTGTCTCAATAAATGTATCCTGAATTGGATCCTAAAACAAATAAAGAATGTTCCCAGAAAAACCTGTAAAATCGGAGTAAAGTCTAGAGTTCAGTTAATAGCATGTACCAACGTCAATGTCTCAGCTTTGACAAGTGTACCACGGTTATGTAAGATGTTAACATTAGGGAAACTGAGTGTGGGGTATACGAGAACACTCTGTTCTATCTTTGCAACCTTTCTGTAAATCTATAATCTTCCAAAATAAAAAGTTTATTAAAAAGTCCATTCCCAAATTTAAAAACACAATATATTGCTGTTAAAACTCAAACTAATAAAATTCACTATTCAGTTCAACTTTTATTTTTTATTGAGGCATAATATGTGTATAGTAAGATACAAATCTTAAGTATACAGCTCATTTTGCATATGGAATCACCACATAGCCAGTCACCGATCAAACAACATGTTTCCAGCACCCAGAAACCTCCCTCTTGTCCTCTCCCAGTCAATGGTCCCCCCAAGTAGCCCCTTTTCTGATTGATATATCAGATCAGTTTTACTTGTTTTTGAACTACTTATAAATAGAAAGTGAAGTATACAATCTTTGATCAAGCATATATAACACTGACTTCTTTCACTCAACATAATGTCTGAAAATCATCTCTGCTACTGTGTGTAGCACTGGTTCATTCTTTTGTGTTATATAATATTCCAATTGCATGAATATTCCCTAATTTAATTGTTCATTTTTTGGAGGGGGCATACTGGGATTTGAACTCAGGTCCTCATACTTGCTAGGCAGGAACTCTACCAGTTTAGCCATGCCCCTAGTCCTCTATTTTCCATTGACATGTGGATTGTTTCCTTAAGAATGAAGCTGCTAGTGACATAATTCTATGTGCCTTTGGATATACACTTCAGTGTGAAATTACTACATCGTAGGTATTTGCATATTTAGTTTTAGGGAGTTCTAGCAAACAGCTTTCCAAAGTGCTTGTACCAGTTAGTCTTCCTGCAGAAATGGGCTCCACATCCCTCCCAATAATTGCTACTGTCGATCTTGTTCATTTTAATCATCCTTGCTGATAAGTATTTATTCTTATCAGATTTAATGTGCACTTCTCTATGACTAATGGTGTTGAACCTTTTTCATGTGTTTAGCACCCTTTAGGATAGCCTTTTCAGTGAAGTGCCTGTTCAAGTCTTTGCCCATTTTTATTGGGTTGGTTGGTTTTAGTTATTGATTTGTAGGCGCTCTTTCTATATTCTGGATACAAGTTGTGTCAGATAAATGTATTACAAATATCTTCTCCCCATCTGTGGCTTTTCTTTCACTCATTTAATGGTGTCTTGATGAGTGGATCAATTAATCCATTAATTACTGCTTTTAAAAAAAAACCCCAGTCTTCTGAGATTTTGGTGTCTGTATACACTTAGAACTAGAAGGAATTCTAGAGATCATTTATCCCATTTGGGTTTTTTTTTTCCTTGTGTATATTAAAAATAATGTGAGATTTTGAAGAAACACCCAAGCTTGGACCCCCAACTCCAATGAGTCAGAATCCGTTGATCAGTGTGGAGCCCTGGAATCAGAATTCTTGAAAAACTCCCCAGGGAATTCTTACAAGCAGTGGAGTGGAGACCCCTTGACTCCTGTGAATGCCTGGAGCCCAAGAGGATGACATTCTGCCCGTGGTGGCAGGTGTCTTGTGGTACTACTGCCTCATCTCCACAGAGCCTCACAGCTGGTGGCTCTCCAGGGAAGTAAGTGACACTCCTGGCTCACTCCTGAGTGACTCTTTCTCCTACATCTCCTGGTTACTCCCACTGCCCTGGTGTCATTAGAAACAACCCATACATCACTCTTAGGGTCCCCCATCTGAAGCCTCTTGAGGATCTGCTGCCCTGGCTGCATGGCAAGCCCTCATCCTCCTGGGCTCAGCCCCAGCCCAACCCCATCCCAGCTACTGTGAGAGGTTTGGAAGACATCGGGTGGATGGTCCTCAAACAGAGGGACCTAACTTCCCATTCCAGGCCCTTGTTCCTCATCCTTGCAGCTGGCTCTGTTAAAACCTCACAAACAGCAGCAGTAGCCTGGTGGGAGGCCAGTGCCTGGACTTGCACCCAGAACCAAGGTCTTGCTACCAGCCCCCAATCTTGGCCAGACAAAGATATCACTAAGCTGCAGGAACCCATGACAGTTGTCACTCAACAGATTAGAGGGCCTTTGGCAGGGACAGGGGCAAGTATTCTGCAGGATATGTGACAAGGGCTTCTAAAGGTCCCCAGGGGTCAGAGAAGTGTCAGCCTCTTCCACCCTTGAGACAACATGGGAGAGCCTTCTTTGCTCACTCCTTATAGCAAGAACCACATAAGTCTAGCATCCCACACCTCTCCCTTCACTGCCACATGGCTCACCTTGTCACCACAAAGACTGAGTGTCCTAAAGCTGCCTAGCACCATGAATGCACATCCAACAACTCAACTCATCTGAGCTACGTTCCTGCCTTTACCACATCACTTGTACAAAAATAACAAACTCCAAACCATAACACTCAGTGTCCTGAATGGAACCTGACTCAGAAAAAGCATCTTTGCAGATGTGATGAAGGACCTTGAAGATGAATATATCCTGGATCATTTGCTTGGACCTTACCCCATCAACCTAGTCCTTCTGAGTGACAGATGAGACAACCCAGAGGAAGTCACATGAAGACAGGGGCCAAATTGGGAGTGATGCAGTCACAAACCAAGGAATAGCAAGGGCTGCGGAAGTTGGAAGAGGCAAGAAGGGACCCTCCTCTAGAGTTTCTGGAAGGAGAGTGGCCTGCAAACAGCCTGATTTCAGACTTTCAGCCTCTGGAGCCATAAGATTACGGCACCAAGTTTGAGGTAATGTGGAATGACAGCCCTGAGAGATGACTGCGATGACTTAAGCCAGCTTACTTGTTCCAGATCCTGCCTCACTTCCTGCAAAACTGGTCCCCCTGCTGTCCGCTCTAAAGCAGCAACAAGGCTAGACAGACAGACACATACATACACACACAGATGTCTCAGCTAGTTCACATCTTTGGCTCCACCTTTCCCCAGGGACAGGTAAGCAGTGAGCATCTCCTGGAAAGGAACGGGCCGAACTAAGGAATTTAAGACCTACACAAAAGTGGGCGGAAGTGGGAGAGGGGAGAACAGGCAGTTGAACTGTGTAGCATGACAGGAGCTGTGCAGAGTGACAGCCACTGTGCACACTGTGCCTGCCTTCCCTGTCAAATGGCTGGGGAAAACTAGGCTCCTTCGATTTCTGTGCTGAAAATAGACTCTTCTGGGAAGAGTAGAGAAAGGAAGGAAGCAAAGAGCATGAAGATATACATTTCTGCACAGTCTACATGAAGAGCTGGCCTCCATAGTTCAGAGGAGGCTGAAAGGAAAAAAACAATGAGCCCCCCTCATGGAGGCCTAGCTGCCCAAGGGGAAGCCCCTTGGTCTGCATGTGGCTAGCTCTTTAAGACTCAAATCTAGCTGGGAAAGCTTGTTTGAGGGTGAACATGAGGAACACAATCTCATCGTAATTATTTGCCTCATACAGACACCCGAACTGTGGGGAGCCATCAGGGCCAGGTCCCATGCTCTGCAGGTCAGAATAGGCACAGTGGCCTGTGGCCAGCAGGGTAGGCATTGACCAGGCCATGGGGTCCAGGGGCCGTGGGTTCAGATACACGCCCAGGTTCATCCGCTGCTGGGCATCTGTGGGGTGGGTATACAGCAGCCATGTGTCCACGGGGTCAGGCCCTGAGCTAGGATTGGGGAAGCCCACCACGCTCCCATGGCAACCATATGGAGGTTCCACAAGCTTCCTCACAGCCTGGGCCTCCTGGAAGTGGAGGCCATCATTGGTGCTATGTGCCTGCACCCTGGCTCCCAGCGAGCTCCTGGCATTGAGATACACCACCTTCTGTGCCCCCGCCCCGACCTCAGCCACCTGGCACTCCAGTGTGGCCTGGGACACAAAGTTGCTTCTCTCCCATGTTTGCCCATGGTCATGGCTGAGGAAGCAGAAAGCAGAGGGGATTGGGGCCTGGAGAGGGTGTAGGCTCCGGTAGGCATAGGCGGGCACTACCAGGCTTCCCAACTTGTCACGTAGCTGCAGACAGTGCCCCGGGCCCACCGCAAATGTGGCCCAGTCCTGGTGGGCTGGGCCAATGGCTTTGCCTGTGAGGTCTGTGGCAGGGCTCCAGGTCCTCCCATGGTCGGTGCTGGTGACATGGCATAGCCGTGTCACATTGACCCTGGTCTGGAGCTGGTGGGTCTCAGAGACTGTCCCTTCGATGGCAATGAAGAAGAGGAAGAGGGTTCCCGTTTGCTCGTCGTACAAGGGGCATGGGTTCATGGACCTGTAGCCCTCCAACTGGGCTTGGGTCACCACTTCTTGAGCCTGCCACTGGATGTGAAGAAAAGGAAGAAGAAACATCATCGTGAAACAGCTGATGATGTTGTCAGGAGCAACACCCTCCAGGCTCATGGGCGGGCATGTTTCATGGGCATGAAGTCAAAGACCATGGAGGAAGACTTCACCCACCATTTGTAGCCTCGTTCCCTCTAAGACCACCCACCCTTCCCTGAATGTCTCTGCTACTTCCATTCCTACTAACATACATTTGCAGAGCCCAAGAGCAAAGATGACTCAGGCAAGAGCCAATTCCCAGCCCTATCATGGTGCTTTGCTCTTAGCAGCCCACTCCAAGTGGGCACTCTTAAGAGCTGTGGACTTCACAGGGACTACAATAGCCTGCAGGCTGTGCAGAATATGATGATCACCTCACATTTTCTACATACAGTACGCTGTTAATGCATCCTAGGAGAATGCAGCCCCAAGACATTCACAGTTAAGCTTCCCTAATGCCCACAGCTATGTCATACATGTCACAGCTATGCTGTCTACCCTAATCATTATCAGCCCTAATGAAAGACCCTAAGCCCAGACATGGTGCTAAAGTCTAATGTCCACTGTCTCATCTAATTCCAACTCTGGGGAGAGCACCATCTCACATCTAGAGAATGAGAGGCCTACATAGGGTGGATGAGCTGCCTAAGGCTGTCCCTCTGGTAAGTGATGGAGCCAGGACTTGAACCCAGGCCCATCTGCTTCAAATCCCATGAACAGGTACAACTATTATGCATCAGGCATGCTTTGAATAGATATCAGGTAGTCATGACCACAAAGTAATGATAACAGTTATGTTAAACCCTTCAATATGATAAGCCAGTCTTGGGTGTCTTCACCAATATTAGCTATTTTATCCACAAGCTGGAACTTCAGAACACAAGTAGTCACCCCAACCCCTAGCTCCCCAGGTTAATTTCACACAAATGCCACCCTCCCCCTTCCCCAGCTCTATAATAATGAACTTTCTCCTTTTGGCTCTCAAGGATTCTGAGAAACTCAGTCAGTCACAAAATAAAGCAGAGAGCCAGGTCGGAAGGACTCATTCATGGTGAACCCAGGTGAGGTCCAGGCAGTGACCACTGGGCAGTCCTTCACTGCCCATCCCTCCTGGACTTCAGTGTATCTTTTCTAGACTCTTCCCCAGACCTCAGTCACCAAGGGATGGAATCACCCTCATGTTCTGTGAGATCCAGGCCTGGTTCCTCTATACACTAGGAAAGGAGTAATCCCTATAGATTGACTGTAGCTGCATCCTGCCTTACCTGGACCTGGTGGGCTGTCGAATTGTAACCTCCTCTGCGCAGGACAATTACTTCTGCCTCCTCATCCTTCTTGCTCAGCCGCCTTTCTGCAAAGGCCAGCAGGGTCTTCTGCCCAGGCAGGTAGAGCAGAGCAGGGATTCTGTAGACCTGGGCCCCTGACTGAAACAATTTGAATTTCTGCAGGACTGGGCAGGTCGCCATGGCGCTGGGGGCTGGGCGGGGAGAAAAAATGCAATATGTGTAGTCACACCTGTGTTGGGGACCAGAGTCACCCACCAAGACAGATGGTGCTCACCCCACAGGTGAGCCAAGCCCTGTGCAGGTGGCCTGCCCTCCTCCGTGGCTCCTTCTTCTTTCTTACATCCCAAGGTCCTATTTGCCAATTCTGCACGTGCCTCCCCTGCAGTTGGCAACATTCCATCTGGGAGGCAAGGAGGGCAGGGAGGAGTGTTTGGAAAAGTGCATTTTGTATTAGATTTTGCTGTAAATTAACCAGTCTCATTCCAACAGATATATATAATTTTCAGTTGCTTTGGCCAGAGCCAACACATCAGTCCAATGTTAAACCTCGGAAAGGACAGGAGTGCTCATCGAGTGGTATTCTGCAGCTGTCCAACTGCCAGGAAATGACACATGGGAGCTTTTTATAACTCCAGAGCCCTAGAAAGTTGTTTGAGAAAAAAAGAAAATGCCTCAATTCTCCGCTCCCCAGGCTGCCTATCGCTAAAACCCAGCAGCCCCCACTGCGTGGGCGCCACCCTGAGGCAGGCAGGGGACTGTGATGCAGTGAGGAAAGAGGCTGATGGGGCTGGAGGAGCCCCCAGAGGTATAGGAAATAAGCAACAACAACAATAAGTATTCAACTAGGAAGGGCAGGGAGGGTGGGGATAACTTGGTGACAGTGGGTGGCCTAGGTCTCCCTTTCAGGAGAACTAACTTCTCAGGTGTGCTGACTGCCCACAGCTGAAAGAATCTGCATCCAAGGTTGTACCCAGGAGCTGGTGGAGTGGCTCAAGCAGTAGAGTGCCTGCCTAGCAAGCGTTAGGTCCTGAGTTCAAACCCCAGTGCCACCAAAAAAAAAAAAAAAAAAAAAAAAGATGAAAACCAAGGTGATCCCCAGGAAAGGCAGCATATATTGACCCACCTACCCAGAACACAAAGACCAGAGGCATTTCTGGTCCCTGCTGGGGATAGCTTGGATCCAAAACCCCCTTTGGGTCAGCTGAGCCTTTCCTGAGACTGCATCTCAGCCTGGCTCCCCCCCACCACACACACACCTCTGGCAGCCTTCTCCTCCCTCCAGGAGTACTGATCCCAGGAGTCCCTGATCAACTTCCTGCCAGGAGCTCCGTGTAAGAACAGCCAGCTTCCCAGGAAGGACATGGTCTCCTGTTTCTGCTCAAGACATGGCTTTTGGGAAGGGGAAATGGAAAATGGGACTGTAAGGAGGTGGAGGGACAGAGGCTTTCCTCTGTATGCCCTTTCGGCACTTGCTATCTATTTAAAACATAATTTAACATTTTTGAGAAATAAGTGTAGTCTATTGGCCTGTAATTCAATTCACAATAAAGGTTGTTATTAGGACAGAGTGACAAAACAAAATTTAGAAGGGCAAATGTTAGCAAAGAAAAAAATGTTCAATAAGTGGAGGCATTAAAGTCTTCTCTTTGTTCTGTTGTGTTCTGTTTTGTTTTTGGCAATACTGGAGTTTGAACTCAGGGACTCACACCTGCTAGGCAGCTCTCTACCACTTGAGTACAGCAAGTCTCAATAAAATCTAGATTAGCGAACTGTAATCCAAGAAAATAGACATGGCCAAAAAATGTAATCAGGAGAGAATCAAATCTAATTAAAAGGGATTAAAATCTAATTAGGGATTAAATGGAAATGGAGGGCAAGATGCCTCAGAAAATTGATCAAAGGCTTATTTCAGTGATGTGGAGTTTGCTCTGGAAGGCATACCCTTGTTGAAATTTCAGCAGTGTTGGTATAATCAGATTTCAATGTTTATGTTGAAAGTCCTTGGGGCCAAAACTTTCTATATCTATTAAAATGAGCTGGCCTTATATATTCAAGGTGGCAGGGTAACTGAGAACATCCACAAAGAAAATTCCAAAGGGGAAAGCTTAAGGAGAAATCAGGAGTTGAATGGAGCCTGGTCCTTGGGGTGGGGAAAGGGAGGGTTGACTTTAGAGCAAGAGGGGTATAGACTAAAGCCAGGAAAAGGATCCTTGTGCTGGGCGAGGTGAATGTCACAAGAGCTGGTGGCTCATGGCTTGGAGAGAAGAGAAGATGGTACAGGGGAGGGATGGCAGCCTCTGGCCAGAACTAGTGATTAGAGCCCCTGGCAGGTCCACCCTTCAGAGATGGACCACTCTCAATTTTTAAAGTGGATATAAATTACACGTGCAATTTCTTTTAAAAGAGTATGGTTCCGTAGTTTTTATATTGTAAGGTTGTGCAAGCATCACCATTATCTAATGACAGGACATTTTCATCATTCCGAAAGAAATCTGGTACCGTTGAGCAGTCACTCCTCAGTACCCGGTCCCTTCAGCCCCAGGAAGCCACCAATCTTCTATCTCTCTGGATTTATCCATTTCAGACATTTCACAATTATACAATGTGTGGTCCTTGTCTCTGGTTTCTTTCTCTTAGCATGCTGCTTCAGAGGCTCACTTGTGTCATAACTTGTGCCAGTGCTTCATTCCTTTTAAATGGTTGAAGACAAACCCATTATATGGATACATAACCACTATGGTTTGAAAGTCTGTGTCCCTTTCAAAACTTAATCCCTAATATTAAGAGGTCCTTTAGGAGGTGATTAGGAATTAGATTACAGCCCTTACAATAGAAAGGAATCAAGGGGGTGGCTTTGACCCTTCCCATCTCCTCAGCCTCATGAGCTGCATCCATCCCTCTGCAAGATGGAGCAACAAGGTACCATCTTGGAAGCAGACACCAGGCACTCGCCACTGAACCTGCCTGCACCTTGATCATAGATTTCCAGTCTCCAGAATCGTGAGCAATAAATTACTATTGCTTATAACTTACCCAGTGTGCAGTATTTGTTAGAACAGCACCTGTGGACTAAAACAACCATGTTTTGTTTATTTATTCATCAGATTGGGGCATGTAGGTTGTTTCTAGTTTGGGGCTATTGCAACTAATGTGCTAGAGTTCGTGTGTGGATGTTTATTTTCAGTTCTCTTGAGTATGTGTGCCTAGCAAGTTGTGGAGTTACTGGGTCATGTGACATTTGACTTTCTGAGAGGTTTTTACATCTGCACCATTTCATATTTTCACTGGCTGTGAAGGGGTTCTTCTCAGTACTTGGTATTGTGTCTTTTTGACACTGGCCATCCTAGAGGGTGTACAGGGGTAGCTCAGTGATGTTTTGATTTGTGTTCCCTGGTGACTAATGATGCTGAGGGTCTCTGCCTGTGCTCATTGGCCACTTATTTTAGCCTGGAGACAATGGGAAAGTTGCAGGGGTCATAGGCAAGGGGGTGATCCAAGCTGATCTATTTTTAGAGAGTCTGTCTTGGTTTCTGGGGGAAGGAGTGAGAGATGAATGTGTTGCAATTTTCCAGGAGAGATTCTATAAAAGCCTGAATGAAGCAGAACAGTGGTGACTCTCCTAGAGACAGGGGCAAATTAGGGAGGAGTTGGGGACTGGTCTCCATAGTGTCCTTGACTGTTTTCCAGACTCCTCCTAAGGTGGCAATAAATTCATTCTTTCCTATAGCAAGTATTTATTGTGACCCCACACAGCCCAGCATCATTCTGGTGGGAAGTGGGGGTGCTCTGAGAATGAAACAGACCAAGAACCCTGCTGTAGTAGAGTTTGCATTCTATTAGGGTGGAAGGTTTACTGTTATTGTCAAATACCTAGATAGTGCTGGCGGGGCCGGATCTGTCTGAGCATGTGACAGAGATTGTCTCATTTGACCCGTAAATGCCCTATCCTCCCGAAGTTGGTGAGACTAAGTGACACCCCTTATGGAGAAATGCTGACATAGAGGCAGGAGGGCTGTGGATACCTGCTAACCCCAACCCTTCACTGGCCACTAATCTCTCTACACATTTGTCCCTCATGTATTTAGAGACAAGGCTGGGCCTGGGGGCAGGGGGGCAGGCAAAGAGCACCTCAGGGTCAGCTAGAGATCTCTTCCCTGTCCCCTCAGCCACTCACGCTGGCCCAAACTCACACTCAACCCCAACCTTTCACTCCGATGATCTGATTTCAAGGGCACTCAGATGGCCCTTGAAAAGTGCTGAGCACTCCAAGCACTCATCAATGTTTTCTAAAAACATCTGCAAATTGTGCAACTTACAATACAATTACCAATATTTATTTATTTAATCCTTGTGACACCCTCATAAAGTAGACACCACTATCATTCAAATGTACAGATGAGGACCCTGAGTTCAACCAATCCTAAGTAGCCCAGAGCTGATACTAAAGGTGCCTCTGGACCCCCAATAGCATTTCCTAGTATGGAAAAATGCCATTTTCTGCACCTCAGCAAGTTCCCAGGAGGCTCTATGCCCATTGTAGGTAGCTGGCACACTCTGACACAGCTCTGGCTCCAAATGCTGGCAGCTGCCTCAGGTTCATGCAGTGGAAACAGAACAGAGTTAGGAGTCCAAAACTTGGATTCTCTCCTTCAGTCCACTCCTAACAAGTTAGCATCTTTGGGCAAAATCTGCCTCTTTGGGTTCCATCCCCCCATCTGCCAAAAGGAAAGCTGGGCCAGACGGCTCCAGATGTCCTTCCTCCACCAGCAGGTGAGCCTGGAGGGGCATGGGGATGGGCAGGAGCCTCAGCATAACCAGACTCACATTTCAATAGCCAGGCAATTGGAAAAGTGACACTATTGGGCTGAACGCTGACAAATTCCCATTTTGTAACCCAAAAATGATGGTATAGCCACAAGTTCATTTGGTTCCTCCTAAGGCTACCAAAGGCTGACATTCTGGCCTCATGGGCACCAAATCCAGAGCCAAGAATCTTACATGAGGAACCTCACTTCTTCCCCAGCATCCAGGAAGCAAGCGTCGGCATTCCTGTCATAGATGTGGGAGCGGTGAGAATTGGGTCAAGACACCCTGGGGTGGTGGAGACAGGTAGATCTGAGCCTGAATCTGCCAGATTCCACAGCCCAGCTCCCAACCACTGGGCTCTCCTGCCATGAGAA